GCACAGCCAGCCAGGCTGGGGCTGCAGCCAGCGGCCGCAGCAGCAGATGGCAAACCCTGTGGAGATGCCACAGCAGCAGGAAAAGGGACCTCAGGGTGTTTCCATGGAAAAAAAAAGCATCTCCCAGGATCCTAGAGCCACCCAGTGCAGCTTCCTCGGCAGGGAGAGACCCAAGGCTTCCAGGGGCTCCATGTTTTGCACAAGGCAAAGCTGGATATTCCCAGATCCCACCCGAGAGAGGAGCCTGCTCCCTCCAGGAGCCGGATTTCACGCCCAGCCCAGTGGAGCAGCAGGAAGGTGGTGGGGCCAGGGCTGCTGTCCCAGCCTGGCAGTGTGAGGTGTTGAGATCCAGGGGCTGTTTTCCCCTGGCCCTGCCAACCATTGTATTAAGATCTTTCCCCTCCGTCAGCACAGCACAAGGAGGCCACTGTGCTACCGGCCCGTGCAGCTCAGCACACGCTGGGGACAAACAAGGAAGGAGGACACCAAAAACAGGGCAGGGATCTGCCAGGCCCTGGCTCTGCCACCCACCACAGGCCACAGCTACAAAATCCTTCTCTGCAAAATGTTCCTGCTCAAGGACACTTTGCTCCCCCATAAAAAATAAAACCCAAAACAACAGATTCTTCAGTGCATGAGTTGCTGCTGCCCCAGCAGTTCCCCATCCTCCTGCAGCCCAGGGAGGCTGGTTTGCCCACAGATCTCACTTGCAACAACCAGGAGGCTGCAACATCACAAATCCAAGGAAAAAAAGCCTTCAAGAAGGGACAATCCACAGGGCAGGGCTGCTGCCAAGCCCACTAGATGCTGGAGCAGCTCCAGGAGCAGAGCCCAGCCCAACCTGGGGTGATTTTGGGGTGCCTGCACCAGCAGCTCCTGCATCCCAGCCCTCTGGGAGCAGCAGGGCTGGAAAGGGAACAAAGCTGGGCTCCTGTCACGTCCCTGTTAGTGTCTCCTGGAGGCACCTCGGAAGGAGCTGGGAGACTTGTCACTTTGGATCAGTGGCAGCAAGGGCAGCCCTCACTGAGCAGAGAGAGGGGCCAAGAGAAGAAAGTTAAAAACATCTGTGAGGGCTGAATAAAACATGGGATCTGTGAGGGGCCTTCCCTCAAACACCACTTTGCACTTAAGCAGCACCCTGAGAGTTCACAGCACTTTAAAAATCACACAGGCAAGAATCTGGGGGGGGTGCTGGGGACACACTGCTCTGCTGAGACCCCCTCCCCAAAGGGCTGGGTCCAGTTCTGGGGTCTCAAACACCAGGAGGACATGGAGCTCCTGGAGAGAGTCCAGAGGAAGCCCCAGAGATGATGCGAGGGCTGGAGCAGCTCTGCTCTGGAGCCAGGCTGGGAGAACTGGGGTGTTCAGCCTGGAGAAGAGAAGGCTCCAGGGAGACCTTAGAGCACCTTCCAGTGCCTGAAGGGGCTCCAGGAAAGCTGGAGAGGGGCTTGGGACAAGGGCAGGGAGGGATGGGATGAGGGGGAATGGATTGAAGCTGGAAGAGGGAGATTGATGTGAGACATGAGGAGGAAATTCTTCCCTGTGAGGGTGGTGAGAGCCTGGCCCAG